AACGCTATGTGTGGTAGGTACTAACTGATCGCCACATGGAGGGCCCTGACTGAAGACTGCTCACAATCCCCAGGGCCTGTGGTCCACTTCAGTCAGTTGAGGAACACTTCAGTTCATCAAAGCAGAAATGTGTACGTCCCCAACCCTTTGTGCCTTCCCAGGGTCACAGGCTGAGACATCCAGCTTCTCACTGTGCACTCAGAATGAAAAGTCACTATTTCTGCTTGCTCTATTCTGTACAGAGGCAATCTTTTTTCTAACCACTTTTTTTATTAGAGAAATTTACTTTTCATTTTACATACCAACTTCAGTTCCCCCTCCTTCCCTTTTTTCTGTTCCCCTCCATCTCCCCTTCTTACTCCCATCCACTCCTCAGAACAGGTAAGGCCTTACTTCAGGAGTCAACAAGGTCTGGGATACCAACATGAGACAGGACCAAGCCCCTCCCCCTGTATCAAGGCTGACAAAGGCATTCCACCATAGGGTATGGTCTCTAAAAAAATCAGTTTATGAACCTGGGATAGTTCCTGGTGCCACTGACAGCCCCCTTCCCTGCAAAGATGAAGCCACATAACTGTCACCCACATTCAGAGGGCCTAGTTTGGTTCCATTCAGGTTCCCCAGCTGTCAGTCCATAGTCTGTGAGCTCCCACTAGCTCAGGTCATCTGTCTGAGGTTTGTCCCATAATGCTCTTTGATAGCCCTTGTTCACATGATCTCTCCTCCCTCTCTTTAACTGAACTCTAGGAGTTCAGCCCAGTGCTTTGGCTGCATGTCCCTACATCTGCATCCATCAGTTACTGGATGAAGGTTCTATGATGACAATTAGGGTCTGATTACAGGAGATGGCATTTTCAGGCACCCTCTCCATTATTGCTAGGAATCTTAGCGGGGGTCATCCTGTGGATTCCTGAGAGTTTCTCTAACACCAGGTTTCTCCCTAACCCCATAATGGCTCCTTCTATCAAGATATCTCTTTTCTTGCCACAGAGGCAATCTCAAAGCCAAGTTCTGGATTGACCAGACACTCCTTCACTGCATTTCTTCAAGGAGATCCCAAACTAGCCATGTGTAGAGAGTTAAGACCGGGCGTGGGGCACAGCAGCTGTAGATGGTGGGTGTACTTAGAGCTGTGCTGACCTCCAGAAAGAAAGATCTCTTCAGGGTGTGGTGAGTTTTCTCAGGTCTGGGCAAACTTCCTCAGTATGCCAAGATTATGAGTTACATTGATGGCCAGGAAACATTATTAGTGACTCGGACAGAATGGGGTCTACTTTAAAATAAAGGTCAGATGTACTTGCCAAGTTACAAGGAAAATGGCATTTAATAGGTCAAGGAGTCATCAAAGGTTTCTGTGCACAAGCACCCGGCACTCAAGTACATTCTTTAAATGCAAATCAAGATATCATTTGCGTGTGTGTGGTGTGTTGCTAGAAATGGAATCCAAAGCCATTTACAAGCTAGATAAGCTCTCTTCCACCGAGTTACACTGCAATCCCAAGTTATCTCCATTGTTTTGTTTCAGTGTGTTGAATTCTACCTCATTTAGGCTCAAAATTTTCCTTCCCCACCTCCAAGGTCTTAACCTGCAGGAGGAATTATTGTTGCTAGCTTGGCCACATGTGCGTCTGTCTCTGCCGTTTTACTCAATTGAATCTTTTAAAATTCCATCCACACCTATTATTAGAAGGGACAGAATAATCTTCATAGCTTCAATTACCCTATTTCTCACCCTGTTTTTACGGATATATCTGAGTGTTATTTTAATACTAAGATAATTTTTGGATATGTGCTTCCTGATGGGTGTTTAATGAGAAGTACTGAATGATCTCATTTATATTTTGCTGAAAATATTATTGGTTTCTGCTTTCATGAGATGCTAATTTTCTGATGGGGTAACTGCTAATAGAGAAGGGGAATTTACTTTACAGAAGCAGTTTATAGGAGCTAAAAGCCATTTCAATCAGCTAGCCTTGACCCAGAATCCCACAATAAACAAATACAATAACATCTAGGGGCAAACTTACATTCTATACCAAGCCTACAGGAGATCTGTTGCTGTGCTTTTACTAGTGATTTTTTGCTTCCATTTGTGGAGGCTAAAGATATCTGCTTTACTAGGGAAATAATATCAATGGAAATATTTAAACATTTTCTCGTGATTAATGAGCCGCCTGAATCAATCATATTATATTTATTACTCATTTTAAGGTGACTGCTTATAAATCCCACTTAGAAGGTGCCAGTTTATAAAGGGAATAAACAACTTCTTATGAACACAAAATACATGGCATCTAAAGTTTCTTCCAAAGCACAGAATTCTCAGAGGAAAACTGCACTACTCTTACAATCTCAGGACTTGTAGACTCAATGAGAGTGAGTTCACTGAACAGAAACATGAAGCATTCAGCAACCATAAATCCAGTTGGGGTTTCATAATGCATGGAACCATTAGAGGATCATTAGTACTCTCTTCATAGGAGTAGCACAGCAAATTCTGACCAAGGCAAACTCACGCCAAGTTTAAAGAGTCATGTATACCATATGACACACTCTCTCTCTTCTCTGGTGGCACAAGGGCCAAAATTTTACTTTGGCAAATTCCACTCCCGCTCCACCTTCAGGGTCACAGGATATACGCTCTTATGACTAATTGCTTTTCCTGAGCCCCTTAGAAATCCCCACCCCGAAGACACTTCCTGCTATGGTAACTGTCTTGTGACCATCCCTATTCTCTTCAACTGTTTCCTGGATCTTGACGAGCCCCTAATTCTTTATTATGACTCACAGGGCTTGAACCATGCCCAGCCATTCCTGAGAAGAAATTTACACATGGTTGTCAAAATTGTTGACTTTGTTCACTTAACTGTGTACAAATGTGTAATAAATGAACGCACATGCAATGTCTTATCCCTCCACCTTCTGATATAGAAAGCAAACATTAGGAAAGAGACCCCACAATCTATTCCAACTAAACCCAAGTACCACAGAACTGACTTCTAAAGATCTAAATAATAATATTTTCATTTTCAATAAGAGAATACACAGTTTTTTTTCTTTTCTTCTTTTTTTTTAGTCAAAGACATGGCCAAGGGAAGAAGCTTGGCTGGTAAGGTGCCTGCCCGTTGTAGGAGCCTGCTTGTTTATTCCTGGCTGCCAGACTTGAAATAATCACACAGAAACTGTGTTAATTAAATCACTGCTTGGCCTATTAGCTCTAGCTTCTTATTGTCTAGATCTTATATTTTAATTTAACCCATTTTTATTAATCTGTGTATCACCACGTGGCTGTGGCTTACTGGCAAGGTTCTGTCCGGCATCTGTTTCTGGTGGGGCTACATTGCTTTTTCCTGACTCGGCCTTCTTTCTCCCAGCATTTAGTTTAGTTTTCCCTGCATAGCTCTGTTCTGCCCTGCTATAGGATCAAAGCAGTTTCTTTATTCATTAATCAATAAAAGCAACACATACTCAGAAGGGCCTCCTATACTACCTGCCTGGCTTGCACAAAGCCCTGGCACTGAGAACACCACTGGTAAAAGAAGAATCAGAAGTTCAAAGTCATTTTGGGCTACTAGAGAGTGTGAGGACATCCCAGTACACATGAGACTCTGCTTTAAAACAAGAACAACAACAACAAAACCCAAAAAGTTGAAGACAGAGGTAGCAACCTTCACAGCAGCAGCTACAAGGGAGCGACCACTGAGGGAGCAAAACACCAAAGAGACAGGATCAAAAAAAAAAGTTCCCTCGCCATATAATAATCAAAACACTAAACACATAGAATAAAGAAAGAATATTAAGAGCTACAAAAGAAAAAGTCCAAGTAACATAAAAAGGCAGACTTACCAGACTTACACCTGACTTCTCAGTGGGAACAATAAAAGCCAGAAGATTGTGGTCAAGTGTTATGCAGACACTAAGATGACCATGGATGCCAGCCCAGACTACTATACACAGCAAAACTTTCAATCACCACAGACAAACAAAACAAGACATTCCATGATAGAACCAGATTTAACTAATACCTACCTACAAACCCAGCCCTACACAAAGTACTAGAATGAAAACTCCAACCTAAGGAAGTTAGTTATATCCACAAAAACATAGACAATTCCAAAGAATGGAAAAACACACACAATAATATTCTCAACAATGAAAACTAAAATAAGAGGAACAAGCAATCACTGGTCATTAACATTCCTTATTATAAATGGACTCCATTCACCTATAAAAAGACACAGATTAAAAGATTACATACAAAAACACAATCCATCCTTCTGCTACATATAAGAAACATACCTCAATCTCAAAGACAGACATCACCTCAGAGTAAAGGGTTGGGAAAAAATGTTCTAATCAAATGGACCCAAGAAACAAGCATGTGTAGCTATCCTAATATCTAACAAAATAGACTTCAAATGAAAAATCAGTCAAAAGAGGAAAAGAAGAACATTTCGTATGACTCACAAGAAAAATTCATCAAGAGGAAATCTCAGTACTGAACATCTATGCCCCAAATACAAGGGCACCCTCATATGTAAGAGAAAACTACTAAAGCTTAAACCACACATTAAACCCTGCACACTAATAGTGAGAGACTTCAACACTCCACTCTCACCACTGGACAGGTAAATTTTTCAAAGAGGAAATTAACAGAGAAATAAGGGAACTAACAGATGTAATGACTTAAATGAAATTAACCAACATATACAAAATATTCCATCCAAACATTAAAAAATATACCTTCTTCTCAGCACCTCATGGAACCTTCACAAGAATTGACCACATATTAGGTAACAAAGGGAACCTCAACAGATAAAAAAAAATTGGAATAATCCCATGTATCTTATCGGATCACCATGGCTTAAAATTAGAATTCAACAGCAACAGTAATTCCAGAAGGCCCACAAACAAATGGAGATTAAACAATGCTCACCTGAATCATCAATGGGTCAAGGAAGAAATAAAGGCAGATTAAAAATGAAAGATTTCCGGGGTTGCCGCTGCCGCTGCCGCCATCGTGCCAGCCCCACGGGTCTTGGTGAGGTGGGTGACTCTCCAGGATGGGAGACAAGCCAATTTGGGAGCAGATTGGATCCAGCTTTATTCAGCATTACTACCAATTATTTGATAACGACAGAACCCAGCTAGGCGCAATTTACATTGATGCATCATGCCTTACGTGGGAAGGACAGCAGTTCCAGGGGAAAGCTGCCATTGTGGAGAAGTTGTCTAGCCTTCCATTCCAGAAAATCCAGCATAGTATCACGGCACAGGACCATCAGCCTACACCAGATAGCTGTATCATCAGCATGGTTGTAGGCCAGCTCAAGGCCGATGAAGATCCCATCATGGGTTTCCACCAGATGTTTCTATTAAAGAACATCAACGACGCTTGGGTTTGCACCAACGACATGTTCAGGCTTGCCCTGCACAACTTCGGCTGACCTCCTGGCCAGACGCTCACGCTGTTTCCTCCTCCCTCCTCTTCCCAATACTATCTCACTCCTCCAGATGCTCCAAATATCATACACAAATGAGCAGGGCCGAGGTGGGAGTGGGTGCAGTGCGCTTCTGTCACCACGGTGTTGTGCATGATGTTTGGATGCTAGACTAGTTGCATCTGACAGGAGACGTTTGTGTTGTACCAGCGCATGCCTTGGAAAGACTTAAGTAATGCAAAAGATTGTCGGTTTTTGTTTTATTTCATTTTTTAATCTACTGACAAGTTGCTCTAGTAACCCAAAGAAGTGAAGGAGAAAGCAGCTGCCTCACCACCCAGATACTGATTTGTTCAGATGTTTCAATGCCTCATGATACAATAAAACCACAAAAGTTTTCTTAACAGTTTAAAAAAAAATGAAAGATTTCCTAAAATTCAATGAAAATAACTATACAACATATCCAAATTTATAGGACACAATGAAAGCAGTGTTAAGAGGAAAGTTCATAGCACTAAATACATACATAAAGAAGCTGGAAAAGTCCCACACTAGTGAGTTAACAGAACACCTGAAAACTCTAGAACAAAAAGAAGCAAACTCCCCCAGGAGGACTAAATGCAGGACATGATCTGGTGTATGATTAATAAAACCTCAGGCTCAGAAATTGGGCTTCAACCTGAAGATCTCAAAAGCAAAACAGCCAGCCACTGGTTCTTACCTCCACCTCAGTCTAAAATGGTGATCCTGCCACCCAGAATCTAAGAATGAGACTGCCTCTGTGAGCTGTCTCCCCTGCTTTATATTCCTTTCAAGGGCTGGGATTAAACGTGCTCACCACTGGGATTAAGGATATGGGATTAAAGACCACCTGATTTCTATGGCAACTACTAGTGTGGCAACTGGGATTAAAAGTGTGTGTTACCATAACCTGGTCTATAAGGCTGACCAGTGGGACTATTTTACCCTCAGATCTTCAGGCAGTTTTTATTTATTAAATACAGTTGAAATGCCACTACAATAATCACACTGAGACCTGAAATCAACAAAACAGAAACAAAGAAAACAGTACAAAGAATCAATGAGACAAAGAGTTGATTCTTCGAAAAAATTAACAAAATAAATAAACTTTTATCCAAATTAACCAAAAGGCAGAGGGAGAATATCCAAATTAACAAAATCAGAAACGAAAAGGGGGACATAACAACACACATGGAGGAAATCCAGAGATTCATTAGGTCATATTTTGAAAACCTGTAACTCCATGAATTTTGAAAAATCAAAGGAAATAGATAATTTTCTGCATAAATATCACTTATCAAAATTAAATCAAAACCAGATAAGCAAATTAAATAGAGCTATAACTGTTAAGGAAATAGAAACAAATCAAATCAAATCTCAAAAAAAAAAAAAAAAGCCAGGACCAGATGGTTTCAGTTCAGAATTCTACAAGATTTTCAAAGAACTAATACCAATACTCCTCAAAATGTTCCACACAATAGCAACAGAAGGAACATTGCTAAAACCTTTAAACCTTTTTTTATGAAGCTACAATTACCCTGATACCCAAACCCCATAAAGATATTACTAAGAAAGAAAATTACAGACTAATCTCACTCATGAACATTGATGCAACCATACTTAATAAAATATTGGCAAACAGAATCCAAGAAGGCATCAAAAAAAAAAAATCACCCACCATGATCAAGTCAGCCTTATCCCAGGGATACAAGGATGGTACAACCTACAAAAATCTATCAATGTAATCCACCATATAAACAAACTGAAAAAAGAAAACCACATGATCATCTCATTATATGCTGAAAAAGTCTTTGACAAAATACAACATCCCTTCATGGTAAAGGTCTTGGAGAGAGCAGGGATACAAGGAACATACCTAAAAATGATAAAGGCAATATACAGCAATTCAACAGCCAACATCAAACTAAATAGAGAAACGCAAAGTGATCCCACTGAAATCAGGAACAAGACAAGGTTGTCCACTCTCTCCATATCTATTCAATATGGTACTTAAGGTCCTAGCTAGAACAATAAGACAACAACAAAAGAAAATCAAGGGGATACAGAAAATCAGAAAAGAATTCATCAAACTCTCACTATTTGCTGATGATATGATAGTTTATATATGTGACCCCAAAAATTCTACCAAGGAACTTCTACAACTCAAAAACAATGTAGCACTGTAGCAGGATACAAGATTAACTCAAAAAAATCAGTAGCCCTCCTGTACACCGATAATAAATGGGCTCAGAAAGAAATCAGAGAAATATCACCCTTCCCAATAGCCACAAATAACATAAAATATCTTGGAGTAACTGTAACCAAACAAGTGGAAGACCTATATGACAAGAACTTTCAATCTTTGAAGAAAGAAACTGAAGACACCAGAAAATGAAAGATCTCCAATGCTCTAGTGTAGGTAGAATTAACATAGCAAACATGGCAATCTTACCAAAAGCAATCTACAGATTCAATGCAATGCCCATCAAAATCCCTGCAAAATTCTTCAGACCTCAAAAGAACAATACTCAACTTCATATGGAAAAGCAAAAAAAAACAGGATAACCATAACAATCTTACACAATAAAGCAACTTCTGGAGGCATCACAATACCTGACTTGAGAGCTACAGTACTGAAAACAGCCTGGTATTGGCATAAAAACAGACAGGAGGACCAATGGAACCGAACCAAAAACCCAGATACCTACGAATACCTGATTTTTGACAAAGAAGCAAAAAATATAAAATGGGAAAAAGAAAGCATATTCAACAAATGGTGCTGACATAATGGGATATCAACATGTAGAAGAATGAAAATAGATCCATATCTATCACCATGCACAAAACTCAAGTCCAAATGGATCAAAGACCTCAACATAAAGCCTCATAGAAAAGAAAGTGGGAAGTACACTTGAATGCATTGGCACAGGAGACTACTTCCTAAATATAACTACAGTTGCCAGACACTGAGAGAAACAATTAATAAATAGGACCTTCTGAAACTGAAACGCTTCTATAAAGAAAAGGACATAGTCAACAAGACCAAATGACAGCCTGCAGAATGGGAAAAGATCTTTACGAACCCTACATGGGACAGAGGGTTGATCTCCAAAGTATACAAAGAACTGAAGAAACTGGTCATCCAAAGAACACCTAATCCAATAAAAAAAATGAGGTACAGACCTAAACAGAGAACTCTCAACAGAGGAATGGCTGAAAGATACTTAAGGAAATGCTCAACATTCTTAGTCATCAGAAAAATACAAATCAAACAACTCCGAGACTCCATTTTACACCCGAAAGAATAGCCAAGATCAAAAACACGGATGACAGCTTATGCTGGAGAGGATGTAGGGTAAAGGGAACACTCCTCATTGCTGGTGCAAGTGCAAACTGGTACAGCCACTTTGGATATCAGTATGGCGATTTCTCAGAAAATTAGGAAACATCCTACCTCAAGACCCAGCAATCTCTTTTGGGTGTATACCCAAATGGTGCTCAATTGTACCACAAGGCCATCTGCTCCAACTATGTTCACAGAAGCATTGTTTGTCATAGCCAGAACCTGGAAACAACATAAATGCCCCTCTACTGAAGAATAGATAAGAAAAATGTGGTACATTTACACAATGGAGTACTATACAGAAGAAAAAATAATGACATTTGAAATTTGTGGGCAAATAAGTGGATCTAGAAAACATTACATTGAGTGAGGTAACCCAGACTCAGAAAGACAAATATCATATGTACTCACTCTTAAGTGGCTCTTAGGAATAATGCAAAGAAAAATCAGCCTACAATTCACAATTCCAGAGAACCTAGAGAACAAAGAGGACCCTAAGAGAGACATACATGGACATACATAAAATTAATTTTAAAAAAGTTAAAGACAAATTTTTCATGTAATGGCAAATAGGAACATAGTCTTGTTTAAAAAAATATGGATATTTAGCAAGACTGATTAGAAAAATGTGTACTGCACACTAGCCCACAGGCTGTCATGTTCCGTTAGGATATTTTAGCACTCCTCTATTTTTGTTACCTTAACATAACATTCAGGGCTGCTAGATACCAGATGGGATTTTTCCTTCTCACCCACTTCCCACTGTAGGAGGATAAAGGGTTTTCACATTCTACATGAAAATCTTTTATAACTTCCTTTTATTCTTTTTTCTCAGCTCATGTATCTGAATCTCTTCAGATGTGTAACCTCTGTCTGAATCCATTGAGGCATTCATAGCACAAGAGTAAGCTGAACTTAAGTGTGTGTGTGCCAGACGCGTATCAACAAGAGCTTCCTCACTGTGGGTGCATGTATGCTCAATTTGATTTCACAGTGCCCAGGCTAATCCAAGGCAAGTCAACCTACTAGAGATACATGCAATGTAGTGCCTTATTTTACAGAATAGATAGCAAATTAAAAGTGGGCTCTAAGTAGACATTCTGTCTTCTCTGGAACTGAAGTCCCCAGAGCTGAGCTTTCGCCTAAGACCTGAACTGTACATGCTGGTTATTCTTTCATGTAAAATTAGAGTGAAGACCACAGGAAAGGAGCCAGAAAGCCAGCTTGACAAGAGTGGATGTGACCCCCCCTTCTTCATGCTCAAACCTATCCCCATCCTTCAGCAGAGGAATCTCAAATGCTGAAACCAATGCTCTCACTCACAACTCTTCACAACAGCTTCTTTTTAGTGTTTCCCCAGAGTGGGGTCCTAAGCTCAGTATCGTGCTGTTACAAGAACTAGGCTAAACTCACAGGATCTGCACCCTCAGGCCTTTGCCATCCAGCCCTGTATCTACCAAGCACACAATTCTGTGGCTGCTTGACTGCTCCTCCAGTTGCCATGTCCTCTTAGGCTACCATACCTGTCCTTCCTCTCTCTAAAATGCTTAGTCCTTCTTATTACACCCTCTTACGTTCTGCCTTGGAGAAGATTGTGCAACTCTTCTGACTACTTAAAGTCACATCTACAATCCCACCTGCCACATAGGTAACTGAAGTGAGCTGCTCTACAAGGGTGATTGTGTCTGACAGTTCCCTGGAGACAAGGCTCATCATGAGAGGTGCATCCACCTCTCTCCTCTTCCATAGCTCTTCTTTTCCTTTCTTCTGGTACATAGTTCTCAGAGAAGCTCCAGCTGCTTGGGCATCTTTTCCATAATAGTATGTCTTCAAGTACTCACTATAAACCTAAATAAAACCAATTTGTCACAGAGTTATAGAGTTACTTTCCTTGTTAGTAGCTCTGCATGGGAATCCAAGGCTCACTTCAGTTACCCATGTGGCAGGTGGGATTGCAGATGTGACTTTAAGTAGTCAGAAGAGTTGCACAATCTTCTCCAAGGCAGAACGTAAGAGGGTCTAATAAGAAGGACTAAGCATTT